TTAGAAATATATTTTAAACCTAGGATTAAAATGTTCGATTGCGTGTACATACTGTAAAAAAAATAACTCAATTTCACTCAATTTTACTCAATAATTTTCTCAAATCTGAGTTTCTGCTATTTATCAAGTGAGTGACTTTTGACTCTATTCTATCTGAGTATGTAAAGCCAATTAAGAGTTGACTTTTTTTCTAAATTTAACTATATTGACTATTTTTTTTCTCAAACTTGGTTTATATTCTCTTTAAATTATAATTTAAATATCTTTGTATTAAAGTCATAAACTACCAAGCTGCCACAGTGATTCCTACACAGATCTGTTTTAGAGACAATTTTTTAAGTCGATTAAAGGAATTGGTTAATTGATTGGATGAGACTCAATATATTATTGTTTTTCATTATTGTAATCAAACCACTGCAATTAAACATAATTTTCACCAAAATAACCGGATAAACGGACATTTGTCCAGCACTATACGCCATACACCAAGCCACGAGTTGGCCTAATGGGGACGATGTGATAGACAAAGACAACTCACGACAACCATAGAATAAATAAGAAGTTTTCCGGCAAAAAATACTAATAAAAATAGATCTCCAACAGTATATTTGGACCACCGTGTATTAAAGAAACCGAATAATGCCACGATTACTTTCCCAAGTTTTTATTTCTTTGCGACATGACATCTTTTTTGCTCCAATTTTTGGTATTGTCTCCTTTAAACTATTTTAAATTGCAGTGATGGCGTTCAGGAAACCGGTCATTAAGCCTTGGAAAAAATCTAATACTAGATCACGAATGTTGCTCTTTCTGACGAGATTCACACGTAAGATGACTTTTTATGTAAGTCGCAAACAAAGCCTTGAAACGGTTGATGCGAGTGAAGGAAATTAGAAGCGTAATTCGTACCAGTTCCGAGGCGCTACTGTTCATCATCTGTCGGTGTGTAAATACCACTTAAATCGACTAAAATTAGAAACGTAGGTTGCTGATTATGTTGCCCATTTTACGACCATATTCATACAAGGCTGTTAATGTATATCGAATAATTAAAGTGCCAAATACAAGCGCGTAATGTTACGAATTCAGCTGAATCGTAGAAAAATTGTAAAGCAACATTTGTCCTAAAGTGGAAACGATTTTCAATGTGTTTGGACACGAATATTACTTGATATAAAATGTCACCATAGCCCCTATTCCAAAATTTCCATATGAGCAATCAATCCCGCCTAGCCAAGGCGTGTCAGTGCGTGTCATAAGCGTACAAGTGGAAAAGAGATAATATTATTGTCACATTTTAGTTATTTCAATTATGTTGTTAAAAATAAGAATTTTTGAGTACAAAGAACATAGCAACATCCAAATTTGTACAACTTCAAGTTTTAATGCTTACATACATTAACAAAGAATGTAAATTTAACGCAGCTTATTTGCAGCAAGGAAAAAACTACACATTGAATTTATACCTTCACATTTTTGCGCTCAATTTCGTATTTATCTCGATTTTTCGAGTCCGTAGATCAACTCCGTCCAATTACGTAGCTCTCCCCCTGTTTAAGGCCCAATTGCTTTGCATCTCCTTCCGAAGGCAACGCTCCCCGACTGGTTCCGTGTCTGAACGCAATCTATTATCGAATCACCCCGGGCCTTTCGCACTTTGCAGTAGCGATTTCCAATTAGATGTATTATTAAGTGTGCGTCTGGAAGGCGATTTATGTGGTCGGGATATTACACTTATTTTCGCGCGTGTCGGCGGAAATTGCCGGGATGGCCGAGATAGCGCCCCAACGGTCGGCTGTCGGGTTATCACGGCATCCATCTAGGAATTAGATGGGCGATAGGCGCTCACGTTTACCGGGAAAGTTCAATTACGGGATGCCTCCCACCGGGAAAAATGTGCCAGTGTCGGTTCCTCGGACTTTAATGTAATTTCACACTTGAAATAGATGAAAAACTTTGGAAAGTTTATTCGGTTCTTCTCTGCCAGCAAGAGAACTTGAAACTCCAACATGTAAACTGTAAAATTACATTTAACTTTAATGTAATTTTACGCTTGAAGTATCTTAAAATCTTTGACAAATTTAGTATGTTGGTCTCAGCGAACAAAAGAACTGTAAAATTACAATTATTATAGCCAGTAACATGTAAACGGTAAAATTACATTCGACTTTAATGTAATTTCACACTTGAAATAGATTAGAAGCTTTGGCAAATTTAGTTGGTTCGTCTTTGTAAATAAAAGAACTGTAAAATTAGAACAGTTGTAGGAGTAACACCATATATTGTAAAATTATATTCGACTTTAATGTAATTTCACATTTGAAATATATAAAAAACTTTGGAAAGTTTAGTAGGTTTTTCTCTGCCAGCAAGAGAACTAACTGTAAAATTGCAACATGCAAACTGTAAAATTACATTCGACTCTAATGTAATTTCACACTTAAAATAAATTAGAAGCTTTAGCAAATTCTGTTGGTTCCTCTTTACAAATAAAAAAAACTGCAGAATTAGAACAGCTATAGGCAGCAACACCATAAACTGTAAAATTACATTCGATTTTAAGGTAATTCCACACTTGAAATAGATGAAAAACTTTGGAAAATTAGTCGATTCCTCTCTGCCAACAAGAGAACTGTAAAACTGCATCATGTAAATTGTAAAATCACATTGAACTTTAATGTAATTTTACGCTTGAAGTACATATCTTAAAAGCGTTGACAAATTTAGTCTGTTGGTATCTGCGAACAAAAGAACTGTAAAATTATAATTATAGCCAGTAACATGCAAACTGTAAAATTACATTCGACTTTAATGTAATTTCACACTTAAAGTAGATTAAAAGCTTTGGAAAATTTAGTTGGTTCCTCTTTGTAAATAAAAGAACTGTAAAATTAGAACAGTTATAGGCAGCAACGCCATAAACTGTAAAATTACATTAAACTTTAATGTAATTTCACATTTGAAATAGATGAAAAACTTTGGAAAGTTTAGTCGGTTCTTCTCTGCCAGCAAAAGAACTGTAAATTTGCAACATACAAACTGTAAAATTACCTACATTTAACATTAATGTAATTTTACGCTAAAGTATCTTAAAAGCTTTGACAAATTTAGTCCGTTGGTCTCTGCGAACAAAGAACTGTAAAATTACAGTTATAGTCAGTAACATGCAAACTGTAAAATTACATTCGACTTTAATGTAATTTCACACTTAAAGTAGATTAGAAGATTTGGCAAATTTAGTTGGTTCCTTTTAGTAACTAAATGAACTCTAAAATTAGAACAGTTATAGGCAGCAACACCATAAACTGTAAAATTACATTCAACTTTAATGTAATTTCACATTTGAAATAGATGAAAAACTTTGGAAAGTTTAGTCGGTTCTTCTCTGCCAGCAAGAGAACTGTAAATTTGCAACATATAAACTGTAAAATTACCTACATTTAACATTAATGTAATTTTACGCTAAAGTATCTTAAAAGCTTTGACAAATTTAGTCCGTTGGTCTCTGCGAACAAAGAACTGTAAAATTACAGTTATAGTCAGTAACATGCAAACTGTAAAATTACATTCGACTTTAATGTAATTACACACTTAAAGTAGATTAGAAGCTTTGGCAAATTTAGTTGGTTGCTCTTTGCAAATAACAGAACTGTAAAATTAGAACAGTTATAGGAGCAACACCATAAACTTACATTCAACTCTAATGTAATCTTACACTCTGTACAAGTTAAACTAACAGAAAAATTATGTAGTCTCGTTTTACTAAATCCGGCAAAATATCATGGAATATATAAAAATCTCAGTGAAATTTTACATACAATTTTTACATACAGTACATGTTCCTTACAACTTCACAAAATTTCATAAAACTTACATAATGACACGACGAACAATATTATACTGAACAGAACAGATATCGCATTTCTTGACTTTAGTTTTAGCTTCTTTCAATGAGTGACAAAACCAATAGATATTTTAATAATTTCTTAATTTCTTAACCTTCCTGTAGCATGTTTCCGATTGCCCTTATTCTTGGTCTGGAGTAACAACCCCGCCGATGTATTTGTCCGCTATATTTTGTGCGCCCATTAGCAAAACGAAATGAATAAACTTCTACGCGGTCGTAAAAACGCACAAACAGTATTTCTGTATCACATCAAAGAGCCAGCCTTCCACTACGACTTTTATTCAGCGCAACAAAAACTGCTCTCGCCTTGCATTTGCTTCGGCCGGGTAATATAACATATGGGCTTACAAAGTATACCTCGCGCGGAAAAACACCGACGATTCGCATTTATCGAGTCCATAAAATGGCAAATTACTCTTCAAATCACATCGGCCTCGCATTATTTATATGGAACCCATACGGTATGGTACATATTAGACGGATTTAATTAATCTCCGTTTTATATATGGTCTAATAATCCTTTCCCTCTGAGGCTATATGGGTATAAGCGAATGCGCTACAAATAACATATTGTATAAGAACTGTGATTTGGGATGTACAATTTCAATAAAAGTCCAGTCCATCTCCTGCATAATTTAACATAATCTTAATATTTTTGGAGTTACTTTTGCCTAAAACATTTATCGTTTATTTTTTTTAGTTATTTTTATTTAGTTTATTTATAACTCACTGGAAAAAAAATATTGACTAGTGTAACTATTAATTAATAACAATAAGAATTAAATTAAAACATCTCATGTCGACATTTCCACACATGTTCAAAAACTGGACACTAAGTACCGATGCAAATTACTTTTACCAACTCACTTTTCTTGAGCAATTAGCCCAACGCTCTGAATACTAACTAACAGATCTAATCGTAATTCAGTTCAAAGTGAACCTTAATAAAAATTCGTATAATTTTTAGGCCATTGCAACACTATGTAGTGTTTCGATTAAACGCTTTTTAACCTTACAGATCACGTCGCTGCGTTATACAGATCTGACTATAAATGCAGGGTGATTTTTTTACTGTGCCATAGTCACTTCGACCATCTCATCACCAGCAAGCAGCATGGCTTCTCACAATTTGGTACGTTATCGTTTGTTCAACTATTTTTCATGTCAGTTATAGGAAAAGTTATAATTGTCACTTAAACTTTCCAATTTCACTTTATTGTATTCAAAACTACTCAACTGTAACTTGTTTAGTTAATCCCAGGTATTACATTCAAAATATTTAGCTGGCGTTGACTTTTAAATATTTTACTACTTTTCAGTGCTATTTTCAGTTTCAGTAATTCCATATCAAGCTGTAAACACAATAAGAAAGTAGCGTATATAAAATATTTTAGAGATGCATACATTTTTTTAACCAAGAACATTATTTCCAGCTCTTCGCTTTCATTATCGCCACAGCAGTATCCTGCTGTTTGGGAGGCGCCGTATCCGCAGTCCCAGCAGCAGTCTCTGCCGTCCCAGCTGCCATTCCTGCTGCGTACTCGGTTCCCTACGCATCATCTTACACCGCCAGTGTCGTCAACCACGCCATCGCTGCTCCAGTAGCTGCTGCTCCCGTCCTTCCTACAGCTAGAGTTGCTGCTGCTCCTTTGGCTGCTGCTGCCCCATATCTAGCCTCTCCCTATCTAGCTTCACCCTATCTAGCTTCTCCCTACGCAGCTGCTCCTGCTCTTGCCGCTTCGCCTTACTTAGCTGCTCCAGCCGTTGCTGCCTCTCCCTACGCGGCTGCTCCCGCCGTTGCTGCTTCTCCCTACGTAGCTGCGCCAGCCGTTGGTGCCTCTCCCTACGTTGCTGCTCCCGCCGTTGCTGCTTCTCCCTACGTAGCTGCGCCAGCCGTTGGTGCCTCTCCCTACGTTGCTGCTCCCGCCGTTGCTGCTTCTCCTTACTTAGCTGCGCCCGCCGCTCGATTGTTAGGAGCTCCTGCTGCGCCCCTGCTCTTGAAGAAGTAGACAATTGATCGATAGTCTTCTTTTCCTGCTAATTATGTACCACAATATTCGAAACAAATAGTTCTGTAATAATATCAAACATTATATTACGCATATTTTTGCTCAAAGACATCATGGATTTTTTTATTAGGGAAAGAAAAAAACTAGTAAGAGTATAAACAATATTTTTGTAGGAGACAATTATGTTGCATAACTTTTTTTTATTTAGATAATGAAGCCTTGTAAATATTGTATTGCATACGCTGAGTATATTACTCAACAATGTGAAGAAACTAGCAAAATTGTGTAAATGCATTTCATTCTATAGTAATACTCGATGTATATAATTTAACATGTCATTTTTGTTAACAATTTCAAAAATAGAGGTTCTTGAAACTGAAAATTTGCAGCAATTTCATTAATTTACCTGATATTATAAAGAAAACAAAGATAGATTTTTTTATCCACATCCAGAAAAGAATTATAAAGCAAAATTAAAATATATACAGTGTGAGTGAACAAGTCCGATCGATCACGCTGTACATACGACCAAAAAAACAATTCTTGCAACAGGTGTTTTACCTGCATATTTAATTCCCGTTCATCGTTTTCTCTCAGTGTAGGACCCGGACCACATTTCTAATCCAATTATAAATTCAAAGCACAGGCAAATGTAAACATATATCCCGATATCGTTCTGTTGTGGTCTGATCTCCGCGATAAATCTTCCCGCTGCGATCAATAAAATAACGATAAGCAAATTCCACTGTCCTTATAGGAATTATTTAAAATTAATCCTTTTGCATCGATAGGTAAGGTAGTAAGCTCGGTCTCTATACAGAATAGGAGTGTGAGAACTCGACTAAGAACGAGATAACTTGATAAAAGCGATTCTGCTCCCGTTGTGGACGTTGGTTTATGTACAATTTCCTTTTGGAATTAAAACAATGTTTACATTTGAAAGCTACAGCGTGTCGCATTTGAAACGGCGAGAGATTAGTGGTCGTTGTTCGGAATTGGTTGGTACTGAAAACATCGGTGAAATTTACTAATTTAGTTGACAAACTAAACAATTAACACATTGTTAGTTGTAAATATTCCAGAGACATCGCTGTTATCCGCGGAGCTCAGTTTTAGTTCCTTCTGAAGAAGAGAGGGGTATGTGTCTCGAAACCTCACTAATGTTCTAATCTGAATATGGATTAAAGAAAAATATGGTAAGTAACCCCATTATATGGGTCACGGAGTGGCAGCGAAACGAGTTCCGTCGTTAAATATTCACAGTTCGCCGATACAGAAGCGAAATATAACAGTTATGGCATGTGCTCGGGGCGACAAATCTGCATTGAATGCGTATGGAAGCAGGACTGCGGTCTCCTCCGGTATTTATTGCTGAATTCGCCAATTAATTTGTCCGCCAGTTGGTAATTGTTGGTTTCCTGCTCTCTGGCTGTCATAGCGCAGACGCTTGTTCGGCTTGACGTTGGCAACTGTAACGTGAATCCCGCTTGAAAAATTGCAGGTAGATTTCCGCAAAACATCGAAAGCCTGGCACTTGAGTATGTGCCTTGCTGTACGGGGTGATTGATAGTTCTCTATTTGTTGCAATCTTCCCCGCTAATAAGATACCAGAATGAAGTAAGGAATCCGGACTTGCTGAAAAAGGCTTCAGGATCAGATCGTACAGGGTATGCGCAGCAAAATGAAAGAAGCTACAGTAACGATTTAAACTCTCTGCTTTTAATAACATAATTTACACTACTACTCATCAAACATCGCATTTCATGTAAAAATACAATGAAAGTACATCATTTATGATGTTTTTAAAAATGTGTATTCCAAATCTATCAATCTGTCCTATATATCTGTCTGATATTCAATTATAATTAATTTTTGTTGTTTTTATTATTTCCCGATAAAACTGTTGGCATCAATTTTCATTTATCAGACATTAATTTACAAGGTGTTTCAGGAGGAGATGTACATACTTCGGTATGTTATTCTGTGTTCAATTTTAAGCAAAAAATTTCCTATGAACTTAGGTCTGGAAATGCTTCGTTAGGACATACAGGATGACAAATATAAAAAAAATTACATTTTCTTTAATAACTCTCGACTATTTTGAGTTAAATTCATGAAATTTTATATGCGAAGGTATCTTGAGACGGGAAATTCATAAAATGAACGCCTCTTAAAGATTTAAAATGCGTGGTTTTCGAGATTAAACCAACAATAAAATAACAAAAAGACAACATGCAATATCTCAACTTCTTTTAGATACTGGTAGTGTTATTCCTCGCCTTGAAGGAACACCACAATAAATTTTCCTGTAGATAGAAGCGCAAATATAAAGAATTTCAGTAGATGTACTTTTTAGGAGCAAATCACAACAATGTTATTGGAAAAATTCCTAATAATTTCTGTAATACTCACCAACATGCTAACGATTATGCAAGAGGTTCCGATCTAGCACAAGATTCTTGAATTCCGGCTAGCAAAAAATCGCTATCCTTTCATTAAAAGCCATCATTACCTTACTTGAATGACGGACGAAAAACAAATTGCGTTTGGTTTTTCCCCGGAATCCAAACGATGATCTTGCGTTTTTTCTTCCTCTTCTTGCAATCGCCAGCGGTCCGACGCGGCTTAAGCATCCATACTATGCAGGTAGATTGTGCAGCGTCAGTAAACGTAGGGATGATTATCGGTACAACTGTTACGCGAAGATGCGCCAGCCAGACAGCGATCGGGCCGTAAATCGTCGGCAGCGTCATAAATACGGAAAACAATGCCGGGTGACTGAACCTGCTGGGATTAGAGATAACTACCACAGTTACGCTTATTGCCGGCTTCTTGCCTATGCCACGTTGCCCGCGGTTGGGCCTACGGCTGCTGCGTACGATATTCCCTCACGCTAGAGTCCTGGTTTAAATTTGGAACTCCCAAATAACAGAATTTTCCAGTGTACGGGGTGTCCCAATATTCCGAGTATATGGAGCTGCCATAGGCTGCGATCTAAGTAAAAAGAAAGTTGACAGAAGGAAATTGTTTTTTCAGATGACTTTGAAACGCATTTTTTACTGGAATTTGATACACTTCTACGAAATAATTGGATTATCAGAACTGTGAACTTTCAACTAATCTGAATTTTGAGTAAATCCATTTTTCTTATTAGATCCTCACTAATGCATATTCGATTCGAATTTGAAATAACGACGTCATTCCAAAATTAATTTATTTATTGACAGAAACGAAATAGCTTCTCTGATATAAACTTTTCAATATGATCACCACGTAATGTATTTCATAAATTAATTATAGTAAAAATTTAAAAAGCACTCTTCTCAGTATTCTTTCATTCTGCAAATTGTGAACAACAATAAATTTTCTGTTGTAAGGCCCCCCAAATAAAAAACTCACAGGCATTTCAGTCAGGTGAACGTGGTGGCCAGTGAACTGAAGTATCCTGTCCCCTACTTGTCTATCTGCTTATACAAGTATTGATCATTTAAGGGTTCTATTGAATTGTACGGTGGTGTAGCGTGATTCACTGGTAGATCGTCAAACAATTCCGGCAGAGTATTTTACAGAAAATCTGAATAAATCTGCTGCCACCACAAATTAAGAAAATATAAGAAAGCCCGGACCATTACAATGGAATAGTACGCCACGTAGTTGAGTAACAATATTCTTTAGCAAATTCTACTGCATCTACTATCGGAAAATTAATAAATTTTGTTATGGATGTTGAAATATCAAAAGCGACGAGATATTTAACAAAAATTAATAATTTGTAAATCTGTATTTGTAGCAATATACAGATCCCAAAGAGTACTAGCAGCGGAACAGATGGCGCTTTGAATAATTGAAAGCGTGTTCCTTTAGATTGGAAGTTCCTTGGATGTTAGTCAAAATAATCGCAGTACACTTAGAATGGTATTAATAAAAAAGACTAGAAATAATTTAATTTGAAAAGGAAAATTATGTTGTATAGTATTTCCGATGCCAGTTGAACTGTATAAAAACGCCTAGCAATAAAATTTAATGGGTTTCGTAGGCGTCCCTTAAAAAGTTTCTATTATATGTTCATTTGACCAACAACATTAATTGTTTATGTCCTGAAACAATTTTATTACACAGATGGTAAATTTCGTTTTGTTCCTTGTAACTCTTAGCAGTCTTCCCAAGTAAAAATCTGTATTTTATTTTATACTAAAATTCTCAACGAAATATTTTCGCGTTTCATACCTTTCAAGCTGTACTTTATGGCAAATTTGCTAGTCAGCAATAATCAAATATTCTTATACATAGAGGACCCCGCACAAACCTTATGGAAAATGGCTTTCGGTCAAAATGGCTGAAATTGAAATATGATATAGCTCTCACCTTCCTCAGCAAAAGTTGTCATGGGCCCAAAGCGATCCTATGAGTAGGTTTAAAGATATAGAGCTTTGAAGCTAACGATTTTATAGCACGGTGCTGAATATAAGTGCAGGATAGGTGTATGTACATCTCCCTTTCTATACACGGTGAGTCAGTTTTTTGTAGACAAACTTTAACAGGAGATAGAACACATGTTTTTAAAAAGAAAAGTTCCTATAAACATATATCGTAGAAGGCTTCGTTTCCGAGATACATGGTGTTGAATATAATTTTTTTTTCTCGAATTTTCATTATGACATAAACGTATGCTTAGATTTTTTTCATGTTTGGGGGATAATGCCTATTAATTAAGGGGCATAAAATAACTTCTACGCCAATAACTATTTTTAAAAAAACTGTTATTATCATTATCTACATACAGTTTAACAAAAATAATGTCCCTTCTTCTGTTTCGAAATTCCTGTGCGTTTCCGAGTTATTTTGATTTTTAGTGTTTGATGTGGTACTAAATTAAGAAATTTATTGATTATCAATTATCGGCTAAATATTTAATTCTTTCAACGAAACCTACCGAAATATGGTTTGTTAAGGATTCTAAAAAGCCGAAATCTCTCATTCTTTATCTCTTTCCAATATAGTCAAAATAAATGTTTGTTATATCAAGCCATACTCAAATACAAGACTTTTATAAGTTGAAATCTGTTTAATACACTAATTTGAACAATCCTTATTTATTATGTGCTGCGT